TCATCTTAAAGTTGCTAAGCTTGAGAAACACTGCTATAACCAGTCTCAATAAAAGGAGTTTAAGCCTTCCTGTGGAGTCGATTTTCTGGTCTGGTCTACCGAGTGGGGCTGGCAATGGTTGTATTTTTTCAGTGTCTACGTTAAACCATTATATGCCATCCATTATATGGATTGGGTGTATATTGTGAAATAAATGCTCTGCATCAACATTCCCAAGGACCATACCTTTTTTGGAGTCAGCCAATGTTTTATAGGAGTTTCAAGTTTAGGAAAATGCTTCCGCAGTGTCTGACAAATGTCTTGCCTTAGGTGAGTCAAGTTGAGGGGATTGGATTGGCTCAGTAAAGATTTAATCAAACCGCTGGTGCATTATGTGGGGTAAGAGAATAGATTTCTTTCGGTGACTGGTTTCGTACGCGATGCTAAGTGATCATTGTTGAATTGTTGTTGAATAAACCACAATGTGTTGGGTTTGCACATTAAACTTGGTGCCTAAATACCTTCATGACCCCGGTCTCCAACCAGAATTGTCCTGTCCAATACGAGTGTCTTGGGCGATACTTTTAACTGTTCCCCACTTTTGTGAAATGAGGGGTGCTAAAGCCAGATGGCCTTGCTTCTTTCTCATAGCCCCAGTTTTATGGGATAGCTTTTCTTAGAAGCTAGACTGGCCCCATCGGTTTTAATTTTCCAGAAGCCAGTGAAGATGGAGCTCTTCTGTGATGCCCTCAGGGTTGATTGGTTAGTTAAGGAATCTGTCATTATGTTGTTATCATTATTGTTATCATATGGTCACTGTTATTATGATATTGCTATATGCACCATGGCTGTTTTAACTGTAATTGATTTTTTTTTTAATTTAAAGTGGTTGTTTTAGTTTGCTAGTGTTAATCACAGGGAGTTCCTTTACACACAAGCAGGATCCCACTTGTAAAATGACTCTTAGAACCTAAGAAGGAAAAGGGAATGTGTGTGTGTGTGTGTGTGTGTGTGTGCGTGAAAAATTGAATTTTAAAACATATCTTAAAATGGAACATTTAAAAAACTCCAGTTGCAAGATAAAGCTTGGTTTATAAAATCCAGTTGCTTTTAATGTCACCCATGTTCCCTGGGGAAGTTCCAGAGTCCAACACATTTGAAGAGCATGAAGCTGGTGAAGACCTTGCCCATTTTTGAGGTTTAAAATATTGGTTCTTTAAAAGACTGCCCTGAGGTTGATCTGGGAGATTGGGTTGAACAAAACGCCCCTGTTTCGATTCCTCCCAATTTCACATTTCGGTGGTTTGGTTCTGTCTTGGTGTCTCTTTTCCACAGAGGACTTCCTCCAAGGTATCACCTGCAGGAGACCCGCTGGCCTGGAGAACAGCTTGTACAGAAGACCCACCGCAAGACCAGAAGCTGGAGAGAAGGCTTTTTGTGACACTGGCTGCTAAGGAGAGGAAGAGCAAAGTCAGCCTTGAGCTAAGATCAGCTCACCTGAAACGAAAATGACCGACCAAGTGGAAGAGGGATCCAACAAAGAGGAACCGATGGAGGGATTGGAACTAGGGAAGAAAGCGCATCCCAGATCCATCCCCTTGGCAAGCTCAGTAAGAAGAGAAATGGCCACGCAGGTTAAGGATGAACCAGAGGAAGGGCTACCCCAAACTCAGCTACCCCGGTGGCAGGGATCCCCAAAGACGAGCAAGCCACAGCTGTCGGAGCCCCCCATGTTGCAGGAGGACCTCAAAGCCTTTTGGGATCACTTGGAGGGGGTGGAAGAGGCATGCTGGTGGGGAAGCAGCCTGGTGCCTGGCCCCAGAGAAGCTGAGAAGACTTATGGCAACCTTGGTGTCCAGGAGACTTATGGGAAAATGAAAGCGGCCATCTTGCGGGGGGAAGCCAGCTGCCGGGAGTGGCAGCGCCAACGTTTTCGGCACTTTTGTTACAAGGAAGCCAAGGGGCCTCGGGAGGCTTGTGGCCAGCTTCAAGACTTCTGCCACCAGTGGCTGAAGCCGGAGCAGCACACCAAGGAGCAGATCCTGGAGCTGGTGATCCTTGAGCAGTTTCTGGCTGTCCTGCCCCCAGGGATGCAGAACTGGGTCCGGGAGGGGGGGCCAGAGACCTGCACCCAGGCAGTGGCCCTGGCCGAGGAGTTCCTCCAGAGGCAGGAGGAGGACCAGAGTCACGAAGACGAGGTCAGTGTGAGTGGTTGTGGGGAAGGAAAGAAATGGAGTTCAAGAGTTTTGCCCATCCTATACCAACTCTGGTCAATAGCAGGAGCTCTCAGAGTTTCAGGCAGGTTTTCTTCCTATTTCAGCTCTGATTTTTGCCTCCCTTCCAGGTACTGGGTCCGTTTGAAGAAGCATCTTGTAATGTCCCCAAGAGTGGGCGCGCTCTCCTTGATTCCCTGCAGGCACAGTGGAGCAAAGCTGGGCAAGAAAACTGCCCAGAGGGCAGGAGCTTCTGTGGTACGTGGGATTCTAGCCTGATCCCTTGGGAGGATGTCACGTTGGGAAAGGCCAGTCTGAGGGAGATATACATGATTTGTTTCCAGTATCTCAAAACACCTGAATAAAAGCCAGTGCAGTTAAAATAAGCCAGAGGCAGATAAAACCTTAACAGAAAAAAAGCAGAGAACAGGGGAAGCGGTGACATAATTGAAAACACTTTGCCGAGAAAGCAAAATATCTCCAAACACCCAAAATATTGTAATGTTAGTGCCAGCACTACATACAAAGCCACGTACATAGTGCTCCATCCTCCTGCTTTTCCCCACAGCAAAAACTTTGTGAAGTAGGTTGGGCTGAGAGGGAGGGACTGGCCTAAAGTCCTCCAGGAGCTTAGTCCATCACCTTTGCCACTAGAACACGATGGCTCTTGGGCTGAGAGGGAGGGGCTGGCCATAATTCCCCAGGGAGCTTTTATGGTCCCAGGGGGATTAGAACCTGGGTCTCCCCACTCCTGGTCTGGCTACATTCCCACTAACCCACACTGACTCTCTGAGGTGGACCAAACCAAAAGCTTATGTGGTCAAACATCTTCTTCCAACTGGACAAAGCAGGCACCAGTAGGAAGCCAGCCAACAGAACATACCTCGCATCCATACTCCACAGCAGGTGGGATGAGGAGGCAAATGGTCTCTTGATCCTGGATGTCACATATGACTATCATAACAAGTAATTGATGATAGCTTAACCTCCACTGATTTGTCTTGGCTCCTTTAAACTGTCTAGTTTGGTGACCATTGCTGCTAGTCAGGGGTTCATTAATTGCGAGAGGTTCACAGAGCAGGAATGTGGAGAATGTAAACCGTCAGCAGGCACTTACAAACAAGACTGGGAAACAGAAAGCAAAATTACCATTACACAGAGGGAAAGGGAGGAAGTTAGGGCATTGGATTTGAACCCAAGGAAGATACCAATTTGGGAATTAGCCTTAATGGCTCAATGACTATTGACACAATAAAGATATAGGTCAGGTTGTGTCATGTTGAGCCTCCTGGAAGCTTGAACCAAGCTCAGACCTGCCTTGGAGGACTCAGATACCACCTCTGCTTTAGGAGGAAGGAGGGCATTCAAAGAAAACTATTATTATTAGGAGGGGTGTAGAATTTTGAAGAAGAAAAAGGTTTTGTTGATTCCTTTTTCCAGGAGTGTGATTTATCTTTGTCTCTTTTTTAGGAGACAGTGAGGAATCTTGTGAAAATGAGATTTCTCCTGTGGGAAATCAAAAGCAGACAGAAGTTTGCCAGACAATGCCTGGAAGAGCGAAAAGCATTTCCTGGCATCTGGGACAAAGGTCCTGGAGGAAGGGAAAGCGTGAGAGCAACCCGGTTCAAAAAGCTAACATCTCTGTTTTGCAAAGCGGTGGACTCGCCAATAATACACAACCAAGGTCCACGTTGGAGAATCTGGAGTCCTGCAGGAGGGATGAGAATACATTTGGCAACAGTTCAGATTTCTTAATAGATACCAAAGCCAAATGCTGTAAGTTCTTGGACTCTACAGCCACCTCCAGTCAGAGCATGCTCTTCCCTAACCTTCAGCGCATCCTCAAGGGTGAGAAATCCTGCAGTTGTCTGAGCTGTGGGAAAAGCTTCCATCACAATTTAAGCCCAGCTGAGCATGGAGACGAGCCTTCTCAGTGTTCAGATTGTGGGAAACATGTTGATGAGGACTCGGTTCTTACGAAACATGAAAGATTTGAACGAGGAGAGAAGCTTTACATGTGTTTAACCTGTGGAGAAAGCTTTGCTCTCTACTCCAGCCTGATGAAGCATGAGAGGATCCACACCGGAGAAGAGTTGTGTCCTCCTGTGGAGAGTGGGCAAAGATACCATCCAAGCGGCAGTCCTACCATCTTGGAACAGCAAGCCTCCGTGGGGGAGAAGCCGTACCAGTGTCCAACCTGTGGGAAGAGCTTTAGCAAAATCTCAACCTTTCAGTTCCACAAGCGGATCCATACTGGGGAGAGGCCTTACACGTGCACCAACTGTGGAAAAAGCTTCAGCCAGAGATCCAATCTTATCTTGCACGAGAAAACTCACACGGGAGTAAAGCCCTTCCGGTGCTCGGACTGTGGGAAGAGCTTCCTTCGAAGCTCAGATCTGGTGAGGCACGAGATCACCCATACCGGGGAGAAACCCTACACCTGCTCTGAATGCGGCCGGTCCTTCAGCCACAACTCGACTCTGATTGCTCACGAGAGAACCCACACGGGGGAGAAGCCCTACAAGTGTTCAGTCTGCGGGAGGAGCTTCCGACACCACTCGGGTCTTATCAAACACGAGAGGACCCACACTGGGGAGCGGCCCTATGCATGTCCGGCCTGTGGGAAGGGTTTCAGTCAGAGCTCGGGCCTGACGCTCCACTTGAGGACTCACACGGGCGAGAAGCCCTACCAGTGCTCCACTTGCGGAAAGAGCTACACCCAGAGGTCAAAACTGACGAAACACGAGAGGACACATTTGGTTGAAATAGTGTAGCTACTCAAGGAAGAGGATAAATTTAGGAACTCCTGGATGATCTGACTTGGGGCTTGTTGCGTGTCAGTAACAAAGCATGCATGTGGATGGTTACAACCAGAGGCTACAAAAAACTGGCCTTCATTCATTAGCAAACACAATTGTGATTCTCAGGGCTTGAAGGAAGAAGCGTGGATGGTCCTCAAGACACTGGAATAAAACGTCTCCCATTAGAACGTTTGACAAAGACAAGCTTTGTAATATTTTTGCCCCAGTAAGGTTTGCTTTGTATTTTTTTTTAAATCAAGAAGTTCTCACTCTCTTAACTCAGTTTTATCTTCCATTATACCTCAGGTCCATCCCTCTGTTTGTGTGTGTGTGTCCTTTTCTGTTTAAATACCCAACTTTAGGTCCTGTTTCAGTCCTCCGAGTATATGTATTTCACTTCTCACCCTTAATTGTATGTGGGTACACACATCTGCCTGCAGAGGCAAAATGGGAGAGTGTAATGTGCAAATAGGTGCAGGGTTCAGTATCTGGCCTCTGGGTGTCAGGGCATCTTCTAATCCCCAACATGGTCCTTGTGTGCCCCCTCCCCAAATTACATTCAAATAAAAATAGGGGGGTTGTTTTGTTTTTAAAAGAACTTCAATTTCGTGAGATTTGGGCACTGACATTTCAGAGCAAGATGACTAACTCTCGAGAGATTTGGAGAAACTTTAAACGAGGGGAGAGTCATGTAGGCTGCTACCCCAAATCACCCAATCATGGAACCTTAGAGTTGGAAGGGATCTTAGAGGTCACTTTTGACAAAAGAAGGTGCTTCTCTCCTGGATAGAGAAAGAGTTAACACTCATGTATCCAGGCTGGTTTTCTCGTAAGTCAGCTCTACCTGTTTGATCACCTACACATATGCTTAGAAATCTTGTTGCATCCAGTCCACACTCTACTGAATATATCATAGAAATCTTCTGTCGATTGCACTTCAGGGAGAGCGTGGTGCTTCACCAGGAAAAGCCAAATTTCATCTGAGCTGCTTTAAGCAAATGAGTGGATTTGCATAATTACCTTCCTTTGCATGCCTTATTCCAGTTTTGCTAGTCGCAGTGTGGACACAGTCAGCCTTCACGCATACACATTTCTGGCTTTGAAATTTCATGGAGGGGACGGGCATGCCCTTTGATCTCCAATGTCAATCATCCCCGTGCCACCTACAGAATTTAATCAGGCTCTCTGTGGTGCTATCACAGCTATTCCAAAATTAGGCTCACCGAAGCCCCACTGAGCTTATGTCCAAATACATAGGTATGTAGAATTGAAACCTTCGTCTTCAATGCAGTTCAGTTCAGTGCAATTCATTCAGTTGTTTAGCAATTCAATCTGCCTATATTTAAATACAATTAAATCATGTTTAAACCACAACAAAAGCAGATGTTTGTTCTTTGGCCTTGGATCACATAAGAGGCTTTCTAGTAGGTGCCGGGAAGGCGGGAACATCTTTTTGAAAATGGGTGCCCGTTGGTTGCAATTCTCATAAGCACCTGTATTAAAAATAATATTCTTTTTTTTTTTTTAGTATTGCCCAATTAATTGGGATGGCTTTTTGGCCAAGAAAAAGTTTATATTTTTAAAGCTAATGCTATGATTAACAATGGAATCTGCTCCATGTCAATTAATGTGGTACATAGTTGCCACCTAAAATACTAACTGGTTCATTATCATAGCTTGCAATCCCATTTTTCCTGGACAGCAAATGCTCAATGGGATCATATTACAGCCTTTCCTAATCGGATGCCTTGAAATATGTTCCATCATCCCCAGTCATCTTGGCCAATGGGAATTGAACTCCAACACAGCTAGAGGACACCGGATTACAGAAAGTTGCCACAGTATTTTATTTTTAAAGAATGCATCCTTTCTTCTTTTTTTAAAAGCAGATTTGAACACCGCCCCAGAGCCAATTTCTATGCTGTGATAGCTCAGCTGTTTGTTTATTTTTTATGTATATATTTAGCTTCGAGGTATATAATCGCCCACTGAACATGTGATTCCAAGCAGCTAACAAGACATAAATAAATAAGTAAATAAATAACACACCACTTGGGTGACTCATATATATACTATGACATCACCAAAGATGAGCTCAGCCAGCAGTCTTGCCCACTCCCCAGGGAAAGATCCAGATCTTCAGTGATTTATGAAAGCCTGGCAGGGTTAGGGTCACCTTGGGATTGAGATTGAGGGGAACCTTTGCAGGCCCTGTGACACAGAAAACATGTCGTGGATCCCATCAAATGATGCTGTTTAACAGAAGGGACCTGGAGCATTCCCACCCTTTCAGATTTCATGGGATGGGCAGAACATTGGAGATAGGTAGTCCTACAGATGACCTGGCCCTGTGCCATGAAGGGCTTTATAGGTGACCACCAGCACCTTGAATTGCACCCATCAGCAGCTACACAGTAGAGGTGCTACATGGGTGTACCAAGGCATACCCCTAACTATCCTAACCTCTACGTTCTGGACCAGCTGTAGCTTCCAGCTGGTTGTCAAGGGCAGCCCCATGTAAAGCACATTGCAGTAATCCAGCGTGAGGTGACTAGCGCATGAGCGACCATCGGAAGGATCTCCTGATCCAGGAACAGGTGCAACTGGTGCACCAAATGAAGCTGGCTGGGGAATTCTGGGAGTTGATATCCACGCATCTTAAAGTTGCCAAGGTTGAGAAACACTGCTTTTAATGTTCCTCTAGGGCTCAGTTTCCAGACCCTTCACTATCGGGGGAGCCCTCTGCAGAGATATCCACCAGATCAGATGCTGGCTGGGAAATTCTGGGAGTTGAAGTCCACACACCTTAAACTTGCCAAGTTTGAGAAACCCTGGCGTAGCTCCTCTGGTTTGCAAGCTGTGATTTACCATCTAACATGCTGTTTGCCAACATTGCCTGTCGCCATGGAGCTGATAAAGCGAACTTCAGTAAAATCCATATCCACGCTTGCAGCAAGAGATCTCCGATTCTTGCTCCTTGTCCCTTGCCAGGGTGGATCTTAGGAGTTAAACCCATAGAGGGTGGAATCCCAGAGAGGCCCTCCACTTCGCAAAGGTGGGGGACTCTGGATGCTCCCAAGTCCCTTCCTGCTTCAGTTCCCAGCTACGGCGGGGCGGTCTAGGCCATTGTTGCCTCTTGACTGCATGCGTTTGCTGGAAGGCTGAGGTGGGGGTGAGTCGTAGGGGCTTTTCAAGGATTAGCAAGAGGGCAGATCCTCTGGAAGAGGAAGAAAAGACTTTTTTATAATAGCACCTTCCCCCTGGAATTTGCATTTCAAAGTGGACGGGAGAATGTTGGGACTGACACCTTGTCTTTTTAAAGCAGTAAATCCTGGCCATTTATCCTGCCTCTAATTTATTTTCAGGCTGTAACTTTCCTGGGGGAAAAGCGTGTATGTGACAGTGTCTAACATTGTGGCACGGATTTTTCTTCCTTCCACTCCTTTTAGTAAAGACACCAAAGCTGAGCTGACACACTCTTTTGCCCACTCTGATGCCTGCAAGTGTATTAGGACTGCATTTCCCAGAATTCCTTCAGCCGTGCTTTCTGGGAATTCTGGAAGTTGCAGAAGGAATTCTGGGAGGTGCAGTCCCAACCCAGCTGGGTGGCACCAAGTTTGGAAAGGCAGTGAAAAGCCATTATGTGCTTTTAGATGCTATTTTTGAACTCAGCCATTGTGGTTTATAAACCATGATATATGGTTTAGAGGTATGCACAAACTGCCATTGTTGTCTATTCAATAAAACCTGGTTTAAAGCAGTATGACTTGTTCACACAATGCTTTTAACTAGCTAAAGTCCTAAAATGGAGAGCTGGTTAATTTTTTTTCTTGGTTAGGTTTTTGAAGTTTTGTATGTTGTACTAATCAATTGGTTTAGCTGATTTTCTATCAACACATCAAACCATAAACTAGGTTAATTCAGTAGCCAATTCAAACGTATTTTGCAATAATGGAAGGAAAATATGAGATTATTGAAGCATGGAGGGAATCGTGCTTCATATGTGTGTGTGTATTTGTGTATGTATGTGTATATGCATGTATATGCACGCACACGCACACACAAATACACACGAAACATGGTTCCCTCTTTTCCTCTCCTTGGGAGAGGGAATGGAAATATTTGCAGTACTATAATGGCTTTTCATATTAAACCTGGCTTGATCTGGAACTCCCTATTTTCTGCCATAAGCTCAGTTTTTCTGGGGCAGAATTTCAAATCCAGAAACTTGTCTTCCAGGTATTAATAAAATAGAAAAAATGTTTAACTTTGCTGATGATTGGAGGACATATTTAACATTTTGGGAAATGTGGGTGGGGGGAAAGAATTGTGGTGAATCAGGCAATGGATCAAAGTGGGCACAGTCAAGATGTCCCAAGTTTACGGGTGGAGTCGGGTGGAGTTTTTAAAATTACAGTATGTTAATATTTTCGGACCTGAGACTTACACAACAATGTGATAGGTATGTTCAGTAACTGTAGCCGGAAGAAAGCTTGCAGAAAAGATGATGGGGTTCCCCAGCATGGTTTATGAGAATAGGGAGAACCTGGGGTCTTTGAAGCTTGGTAGAACTACATCAAAATCTTTTCTCCCAAAAGCGTTTCGTTTGTGAATATTCTCTCTAATATTCCTCTGTCTACATTTTCCCCTCCTTAGGATGATGTCGCTCCCATACATCTGAGTCATCATCACGCATCCCTCTTTATCTACCTCCGTCGTTAACCTCAAGGACTTTGGTGGTGGACTTGGGTCAAGATCTCAAAAACGTTCAAAAGGAAGAGACTTCAAGAACCATATTGCTGGGAGGGGAAATGAGCAAAGAGGGGACCTTGGAACTTGAACCTGCAGTGCAGAAAATGGCTGCCAAGTATGGGATTATGGGAGATCATGTTCCTCTGTTTCAAGCTGGCCTCCAGCTGGAAGGGCAGATGCTACAGCCGGGTGCCCTCAGCCCCAAATCAGAAGATAA